TGTACTTTTTAAGTGAAAGAACCATAATTCCTCAAATATTCTCAAAATATACACTTTAAGTCAGTCATATTGCACTCAAAATTTTTAAATTTTTTCCTCTAAACTTAATTTTATCAAAAGTGACTACATATTGTAGTTTATTATCTTGTCGAGTGTTGCTTCAAGGTTCAAGTAACATAAAACCTTGATATATACTGATTGATAAACCTTGATTGATATAATCAGAAGGAAATCTTATCTTTATGTATGTTCCCCAGTAGGGTCAACAATATTATCAGAATTGTTCTTAATCTTTTGTGGTTCTGCCATTCTAAACATGCCAGATTTCTCCATGGAAACTTCTCCTTATGGTTACAAAATGGCTAAACACTTTCAGATTTTGCATGCAGACCCAAAAGTATCTACCAAACGAAGCCATCTCTTCCTGTGATTTTTAACCACTGGGAAAAATATTTTTCTAAAAAGTTCCTCAGTAGACATATACTATTAAATGTATTCCTTAATAAATCACTAAAGGGTCTCATATAACCACATTTGTTTTTAGCTAAACACATGGTGGTATGAACAGTAGATTACCTAAACTAAGTCATTAGAAAAAGGAGAGTCAAACAGCAAAATCTGTTTGCCTTGCCTATCTTTGTATTAGATAGCTTTACTTCTTTAATTTTTCAGTTAGCATGGATATATCATTTAAAAAGTATTATTTTTAATGTTGTAATTTTTATTCTTTAAACTTTCCATTTTGACTCATCTGCACCTAGGAGCTTTAAAATTATTTCTGTATAGCCAGGTATAGTGGTTCACACCTGTAATCCCAGCTATTTGGGAGGCTAAAGCGAGAAGACTACAAATTCTAATCTAGCCTGGCAACTAAGCGAGACCTTGTTTCAAAATGAAAAATAAAGCACACCATTGAGGTCAATTTCCACTACTGGAAAATAATAAGTACACATGTATTACTCTACCTACCAGAGTCCAGAGAAAGTTATTATGTAAAATTATCTAACACGGGGCTGGGGATTTAGCTCAGCAGCATAAGCACCTGCTTTGCAAGCAGTCGTGAGTTTGATCCCCGGTACCGATAAAAAGGAAAAAGACAAAAAAAAAAAAGTTAAAAAAAAAATTATCTAACACATCTTATAGTTACCAAAACCAGTAACTAGTATATTAGAAACTGTACACTTTATTCAAATTTCTCCAGGTTTTCAAATATTACTTTCTTTGTCCCAGAAGTTTTTGTAGGATCCTATCTTGTAGTCAGTTGGTGTTTTTTGTTTTTCTTATTTTCAGTGTCCTTCAATTTGTGATTTTCCCAGGTTTTCTTTGTATTTTATAATCTCAACACATTGAAAGTACTGGCTGGTCATTAAACAGTGACCATTAAGTGGTCACTAAACAGTGACCATTAAGATAATGTGCATTTAGATTTATCTGATAGTTTCCTTGATTAAAATAAGATTATGAATTTTGAGCAAGAATATCGAAGAAATGATGTGTCCTCAGTGCATCATGTTGCAATTTGTATATCGATGTCTTATTTCCAGTAATATTAACCCTGATTACGATATGAAGGTTGTATCTGCTGGGTTTCTCCACTATGAAAGTATTATATTTCCTGCATTTCCCTTTGTACAGAATAAAAATCAGAGATAATCACAAACTATGAAAATTTATCCTGACTTTCCCTAACTTTAGCATCTTTAGAGAATGCTAAATTATGACGGTGTTTACAAAATTATTTTTAGGGTGTTGGTCTAAAGACAACTTTCTACTCGTATTTACTCATAATGCTGCAGGGACATATTCATTTTTCACATTTATTTGATTATAACCCTATGGACTCAGGAATTTTATTCTATACATTAAAATCTCTTTATGCCATATTATATATAAATTATAAATCAAAATGATTCACATAACTAAATATAAAAGTTAAACTTGCCAAATAGGGTGGTGAATTCCTGTAATCCCAGCAATGCAAGCAGCTGAAATGGATCACAAATTGAGGCCTTCACAGGCAACTCAACAAGATTCTATAATCAATTAATCAATCAAGAGCTGGGGATGTAGCTCAACAGTCAAGTTGTTCCTGGGTTCTATCATCAGTACCAGCATGGGAAAGTAGAGCACCTTTCTAATATATAGGAGTCCCTGTGTTCAATCTCTAGGACCATTTTTAAAAAGTAGTAATAATAATAATAATACTCACATATAATATAAATTAAACTTATGGAAGAAAATAGTATTCCATAATATGGCACACATTATTCACTATGACAACAAAAGCATAATCTATAAACAATAACAAATGGCATTTCATTAGAAGTCCACATTTTTGCCAGACATGATAGCACACATTTATTATCCCAGCACTTAGAAGGCTGAGGCAGGAGGATTGCTGTAAATTCAAGTCCAGCTTGGGCTACAAAATGAATTCAAGACTAGCCTGAACTACGTAGAGAAACCCTGTCTCAAAAAGAGCAAAAAGAAAAAGTCTGTATTTTTGTGCTTCAACACATCATTAATAGAGACAAGACAGACTGGAAGAAGTTATTTGTAATCATATATCTGATTAAAAATACTTGTGTTGAAAATACACAAAATCCCAAACTGAGTAAGATACACAATTCAATTTAAAAGCAGGAGAAAGATTTTTTGCTTAATTGATGTAATTTTTCGATCTCTATATATTTAGTCTTTATGAATCATACTGTTTTGGATATATATCCAGTACTCTGAAGTAAGGTTTTGTGTTGTGAGACAGCCAGTTCTCATTGACTGTTTGGTCCCACCTCTATTGGGCTCAACCAAGTTATCTTTGCAAATTCTTGCTGACAAAAAATTACAAGGCTTATCCATCTCTTAATATAAAAGCTTCCTTAAACTAGTCATATAGTCAACTAAATTTGTGAAGAATACCACAGTTTGACAACTCTATAAATGCTTGTCTTGAAATGAAAAGAACCTCACTGCTACAAAAAACAAGATCATTACCCTTGTACCCAAGAGTTCTTTGGACCTGGTTTGCTTAGCCATCGCTAAAACCAATACCTCTTTAGCACTGCCATATTGTTCATGGGATTAGAGGCAAGGAAAATCAACAAAGCTGTGCTGATGCTCCAATCACCTATAATGACATAATAAACTAAACTGCCCTGATTCATAAATCATATACACTTTGAGCTTATATGATTGTTCCTGTTTAGTTCTTGTTTGATTTCTTGTTAACAGATTTGAAATTTTTCTCACATATTTTTTTCCCTCAAAAGTGAAGTTTTAAATTTCTCATTTTAAAAGTTCATTCAGGCAGGTATGGTGCTGAACATCTGTAATCTCAGCACTCAGGAGACTATAGGAGGATAATGGAGAGTTTAAGGCCAGTCTGGGCTACATAGTGAGGTTGTGTCTCAAAAAAAAAAAAAAAAAAAAAAAAAAAAAAATAATAATAATAATAATAATAAATAAAAAACAAAACAAAACAAAAATTCATTGATGATATGTGTATATGAAATAAATTAAAAGTTATCTACTAGAAAGTCACTCCTTCAGAATACCTGCTGTTAGCTAGATTTCAGTCCCTAAATTTTGGTTAATTCTTATGAATTTATTTTATTGGCAAGAACTTTTGACACCGACCAGGAATAATAGAGGTAGACTATCCTTGACTTGTTCTTGATCTTAGAGGGAAAGCATCTAGTCTCCCACTACTAAATATATGGGGAGTTTGTAAATATTTTTTTTTTCTCTTTTTATTGGTACTGGGGATCAAACTCACGACTGCTTGCTTGCAAGCCAGGTGCTTATGCGGCTGAGCTAAATCCCCAGACCCCTGAAAAAAAGACAAAAATAAATAAATAAATAAAAATAAAAATTAAAAAAAGGGGTGGAGGCTGGGGAGTTAGCTCAGTGGCATAAGCACCTGCCTTGCAAGCAGGCGGTCGTGAGTTTGATCCCCGGTACTGATAAACATGAAAAAAAAGACAAAAAGAAAATTAAAAAAAAAAAAAATTCCCAGCCCCCGTAAATATTCTTTATCAAGATCTGTTAGATTCCTATTTATTGAGAGTTTTGGTTTTTTTGTTTCGTTTGTCTTTTTTGAGACAGGGTTTCACTGCAGATTAGGCTGCCCTTAAATTCATGGGACTCCACTGCCTCAGCCTCCTGTTAAAGTTAGGATTATAGGAATGTACCACCATGCCCAGCTCCAGTTTTGGTTCTTTAAAGAATTTTTTGAATACGAATAGGCACTGTATTTTAACAAATGGCATTTCTGAATTTTTTTTTTTAAAGACAGGCTCTTGCTACATAGCCCAAGATAGTCTTCAACTCTGTATGTAGCCAAGGTAGTACTCAAATCTTGACCATTTTGCCTCAGCCTTCTCAGTGCTGGAATAACAGTTGTATATCACCACACTTAGCTCTGCTTCAGTCTTATTATGTGGGTTACATTAACTATTTCCAACTGCTGGGCCAGCTTTTCAAAGCTAGAATAAATGCTGCTTTACCAAGGTGTACAATTATTTGTTATAGTTGGATTAGATTGCTAATACTGTTTTGAGTATTTCTACATCTATGTTCATGAGAAATTGATCTATAATTGTCTTTTCTCATAACGCTGTCAACTAATTTGTTGCTGTTATTTTGTTTTGTGATGCTGGGGAATCAACAAACAACTGGAGTATTCTACAAAGGAATTTTATATGTAATCTTCCCCTGAAAAGACGTATTCTCTAACATATAAAAGTATTTGTATTTTCTATATAATGACATGATTGACTTTAAATACTATTTACTTACCATAAAAAAGATAAAGGTAAGAAACTTGGATGATACACAGTAGAAAGCATTCCCAACTATAAAAGTATGCACAAATTTCTCTTAGAAAATTAATGGTACTACAAGGGTTTAGAGTTCTCTCATTTAGCTTGCACATATTCCTGAATGACTCCTATCTACCTGCAAAAAGCCTCTATAAAGAAATATGCAATATCACCAGCAGCTAGAGGGTCTTACAATTTTATTTACAAAAAATTTACAAAATGTCACAAACACGATTTTGTTGGTAATAATTGCAAAGTTAAGAATAGAGTAATATAAAATATCACTTAGTATATAATATGTATTAAAATATAGCTTTAATCCTAGCTTTATCCATTAGTTTTTAAATTCCAATTTTTAATAAATCTAGAAACAAGGCAATACACATGAAACACTTTGCTAAATATTTTTAAATTAACTCACTTTTTACATTGGATATTACTCTAACATCATTTATAAATTAAATAATTTTCTATTATAATTCCTAAATATAAAAGTATTATGCATCAAATGGAACTCAAAAAGCATAAAAGATACTGTCACAAATTTTTAAAAAATTACATTGTATACATTAGAAGTTAAAAAATTAGTAAAAGAATATTGGATAAGATACAACAAATGCTTTATAAATGCAGAAACTTTCCACTTGTACTATTGTCCATATAGTTTAAAACACTAAAGAACTGACAGAATCAGGGAAGACCATTTTAAAAATGAATAGATGGCAGTATGTGTCATCTAAGGATAAAAGAGAGACTATTGCTTTGATTTGCAATAATCCTTATTCAAACAAATTCCTATTATCTTTGAATATCTTTGAATTTATCGTGTAAAAAGAGATCATCTTTTTATTGATGGAAGGCTTCTAATCTTATTCGGGTTGGATCTTCTGGATGTCTTAAGGCAATTCCATTGCGCAGCAGCAGCTCAATATAAGGTGGCCAAAAGGAATCACTAATTTTGACATATGGATCATGTGGAACATCAAATAATCTATTTATAAGAATCTAGGAAAAAATATCATTGAAAATACACTTTACGTGGAGGAAAATCTACCTGCAGCTTTAATAAAACAACCAAGAATTGTTCTACCAAAAATGTTGATCTCTTTTCTCATTAAACAACTATTTATAATTTTTATATATTGTAATAACCTAAATTTTTAAAAGACTATAGGTATTAGTAATGGCAAAGTTTTGAAATTAATTTCTGATCTTAACATTTAAAAAAATTTCCCCCAAACTAGCTAGAAAGCATTTACAAGTGTTCCTTCTCTTGTGATTAATAATTTATTCAGAAAAAGACAAGAATTTTATAAAGCAAAATTCATAGCCAGGCCTGATGGCACAAGCCTGTAATCCCATATTCTGGAAGGCTAGGGAAGAAAGATACCAAGTACTCTTATCTCAAAATCTGAAAAAGAGGCTGGAGATACAGTTCAGTGCAAAGGCCATGGGGTTCAATATAAAGTCCTGCCCCCAACAAAGGTGAAATTCAGAGTGGTAGAAGAGTTGTGAACATGTGAGAAGCCTTGGGTTCAATACATAGCATCAATCAATCAATCAACAAAATACTGTACACAGAGTATCATAATATTGGTGTAAGCCATGCATGGTGGCACACAAAGCAACTCAGGAGGCTAAAGCAGGAAGATCAAAAATTTAAGGCCAACCTAGACAACACAGCAGGATTCTGCCTCGAATTAAAATTCTTTAAAAACAGCCTAGAGACATACATAGCTTAGTGGTAGAGTGCTTGCCCAGCATGTACAATTCAATCCTAAGTATCACAGAAAGGAAGAAGAAGTAAGGAAGGGAGACAGGTTGAGGGACAAAAGGAGGAAGGGAGGGAGGGAGACAGGGAAACAGGGAGAGGGAGAGAGAAAAAAGAAAACTTGGGGAGTGGAAAGGAGCTCATCAGTTCCTCCTTACAAACATTCCAATCCTGATGAAATTTTAAAATGATCAATTTTATTGCTAGCATTTCCTTCAACTTCATTTCTTTACCAAGAACACTGAGGGATTATTTTAAAAATGAGATATTTGGGAGATTCCTATTCACAGGTTACTATTTCCCAAAATGCATTCCATAAAATTAGCTTCATTAATTGTGTTCTTAGTTGTTACTAAATAGGATTGTGTGCTCATAAGAAAGATAGATTGCTAATGAAAACTGAGAATCACTTGTCTTTCCAAATATTTAAGAGTGAAAATGCTAAATGTAGACATATTTTTGTCTCTTTATCCACTTTCCAATACTTTCACGAATTATAAAACCAGCACTCAATAGGATTAAGGGATTCCATAAGAAAACAAAATTAACAAATTTGCCAGGCCAAAGCTTTTACTGAAAGATGCTATCAGTTTAAGGAAATGGAAAAGAAAAAGCATAATATAGATATACAAATATAAAGTGCTACAAAAGTACATAAAATTAACCTGTCAAGCTCTAATTTAAATCATATTTCACAATACCAGTATTTCATTTCTTGAAATAAAAATTAAAACTATCATTAATTATACCTCTTTCATGTCCCATAATGGAGGAGAGGAAAGTTATGGCCTCCTTTCTTTTAGGTATTATGGCAAAGAATTAAATATAATCCTATTTAGAGCACTTGCTTCTTTTAATTCAGTTTAAAAACTTCTGAGTTGGGGGTTTAACTTAAGTTACAGAGCCCTTTCCTAGCATTTGTCAGGCCCTGGGTTCAATCCCTAGCACTATTACTAGAAATAGTTAAATGCTAAAAATTTATATCTAAAATGAATATACAGATACTTCATTTTTCACTGAATTGAAATTTAAATACTGATCACTTTTATCATTGATAATAAGACTGAGATAGTTTTCTAAGTTTTATATTGTATCCCATAGTACATCTGAATATTTTACCCATGACAGTTGATGCATGAAGTGACGATTTTTATTTATTTATTTATTTTTTTTTTGTTTTTTTTTCCTTTTTATCGGTACCAGGGATGGAACTCACGACTGCCTGCTTGCAAGGCAGGCGCTTATGCCGCTGAGCTAAATCCCCAGCCCCGACGATTTTTATTTAAAAAGTAAATATATCTATGAAAACAGCTGTCATGGTTTCATTATAAATTGGAGTAGCTATGTTAACTATTTTAATCACAAATCTAATAAATATTTGCATTTAGCTTTTCAAAGCAATAATATTTAGTATTAAGAAAGGCATCCTGAGGCACCAAATTAATTGGACAGAAACAGACTTTTATACCCAATTCATTATATTAGAACAAAACATGTTTTCTGAAAACATTCTTCTAAACTTATTAGTACTAAGTAAAAAGGACACTGGGTGGGGATATGACTCAGAGGTAAGGCCCTTGCCTACTTGTGCTCAAGGCACTGGGTTCAATTCCCATACTGCAGTGGATAAATCAATTAAATAAATGAAGGGAAGATATTAAAATTTCTTTAAAAAAAAAAGGAACACTAATTGATAAATGTCCTGCTCTTCACAGACTGCTTTCTTCTCTGTCCAATTGCCATATATTTTCGTATAAGATTTTCTAAAGTATTTAACATATTTAGTAATCTAGTGGGAGTTCAAAAACATTTTGTAAAAAGGTCAAAGACATTTATAAAACAAAATAAAATGTCAAACAGAAGTTCAGAATTGTTCACTCATTACATTTTTGACAAAGGAGATAGTTATAAAGGGAAATTGTGCACAGATTTCCACAACTGTGGAAAAATTCTTTGCAATCACTTACATATGTTACAGTACAGAACTAACTAAAATGCTATAATTAAGGCTCCAGGGATATAGCTTAGCAACACAGGACCTGTCTGGCAAGTGTGAGGTCCTAAGTACAAATTCCCAGTACCAAAATAAATAAAAATAAGTAAATAAATAAAATTCTGTCAGTATGACATAAGATATTATGCAAACAGTAGCAAAAACTTTTAAAATCTGTAACTTTAATAAACTTTGAGAACATAATTAAAAGTTGGACTTCAATTTTATGTTCTTTTTGATAAATGACAAAGGCTAAAAATACAGCTCAGCACAGATCAGCACAGCACCTGCCTGGCAAGTGCAAGGTCTTGAGTTTGATTCTCAGTACCAAAATAAATAAATAAAAACAAAAAAATGACAATATTGTCACCAACACTACATAGAAGACAAAAACTAATTTTGCAGTAGAGACAAATTATTATAACCACATTAAAGTTTGATGTATAACTTAAGGATTAAAGTACTACTTTTTCCTTTACAACCCTAACTATAATTGTTTACGAGTGACGAAGAGACAGCTTTAAGATAAAAAAAAAAACAAAAAAAGAATCTCCACACACACAAAGCCCTTACCTCTAACACTTCATGCAGTGTAATCAGCTGTGCAGTTGATTCTTGAATGTTTTTCTTTGAAAGAAATGTGAATAAAAACATTTTAATTCTGTCAACAGTAGACTGTTGGATTATATTACAAAATTTTTAAAATTAATATTTCTTAGTTGCAATGATACAAGGTAACTAAAATCAAACTCATATAAGTGATTTAAAAAGACTTCTGAGCCTGACATGGTGGTGCACACCTGTTATCCCAAGGACCCAGGAGGCTGAGGCCAGAGAATCACTGTGAGTTTGAAACCAGCCTGGACTACACAGTGAGTTCAAGGGCAGCCTTAACTACATGGTGAGATCCCATTTCAAAAAAACAAACAAAAAAACTTCTCAAAGTAAAAACCTTATTGTACAAAAGTCAAACTCATAAAAATGCAGTTCAGATGACTTCTAAAACAAAAAACCTGCTGTAACTACTATATAATTCATACTATCCATAAACATATAGTAGATAAAGAAATATAGATGGCATACAATATAGAGTCCAATATTTGGAAATTTCAATAAAAATTCTCCAAATAAACGACATTCCACATTATAATATCAGAAGAAACTTACTTTTATGGGCATTTGATCATCTTTCCACAGCACTTGACAGTTCCTAATATTAACTAAACTCATTGTTTTTTTTTTCTTCTTTTTTTTCATGGAATAACAGGAAAAAATCTCATTTAAATTTTACACAACTATTTTGCAAATATTTGAGATAGCTAACATAAAATTTAAGTCTCCCTTATCCATGTTAATCACCACTAGTTTCTTTAATTATTTCCACATCAGATAGATAAGCAACCTCTCATAACCAGGGATGTTCTCTAAATGTAATACAGCTTATTTGTTTGTCTGTTTGTTTGTTTGATCCAGTCTACCATAATGATCTAGAGTGAGGCAACCATCAAAGAAAAAAAATACTTTCTTAATTAGACACTTGAATATATTTATTAAGATTAAAATCATGACTACAAATCATGACTTGCCTTCGCAGGATAATTAAGGTTAAATGAGGTCACAAGATTGGGATTCTAATCCAAAATGAGACATTGGAGGATTACTAGAATTGTTGTTAATAATTTCCTCAATAAATAAAAAGTATAAATAATAATGAGTAGAGAGACATAGTTCATAAAAATATAATGCCTACAGATAATGTGAAAGAGAAAAATAAAAAGCACGCATATCACACATACAAAAAAACTTTTTCTTAGTATTCTCACATTCACTTATCCTGGGGGTATAGCCTTCATATTAGAACAAATACCTACCATCAGATTTAAAAAAAGAAAAGAATTCAAAAGGTACTATAAAAGATATGCAAATAAAAATGATACAATGACATCAGACCAAACAGGTTTCCAGGCAGAGTGTATAGGCACAAAAAAGTGAAAGGAATTAATACATACTTGTTGGAGCTAATGATATGGTTGAATAAATTCATGTAAAAGATGAACAGATGAGCAACAAAGCTAAACAGGTAGACAAAAGACCATATGAATCCACTTTTCTAAGGCATTTACAGACTTCATCTTATGGAAAGTCCAAGTTTTATTAAAAAATAAGAATAAAACCCCTAAATATACTTTAGCTCATTCTAGTGCCAATTTCAATAGTCTCATACATTTCCTTTTTATGCAGTATTAAAATAAAAGAAAGTGGTTGTTCACAATCTTTTGTCACCAAATGTTTGGTTTGCATTTTTGGAAAAGATTTACTATATCATATTCAAATAGTCTATAACCTAGATTGGTGGTGGTGAATCTACGGAACATGTGCAACATCAGGCTGTATCACTGACAGCACTAAAAGGTTTGCCATCACTACCTACATAAACAAATTTAACACTCTGCTGATTTAAAAAGACATATACTATGACAATCGAGTTTAACTGTGAAGTTGATCGCTTGGGACCTGCTTAAGGAATCATCAGTAAAGCACACTTCTAGGTACGTCTGGATGGATCCTGAAGGCATGGTGTTAGAGGTCTATGTCTAGTCCCATTTGCCTTTCTTTCTAGCACTGTTTCCCTGCTCTGCTTCCTTACTGCCATGAGTCAGGCAGTTTTGCTTCCACATGCCCAATAATTATGATGTTTCTGCTTTGGAGCCAGTCAATCATGGGCTGAAATTACTTGAAACTATAAGCCAAATTAAACTTCATCTCCGTTAAGTTGCTGATGTCAGGGATGGTGTCCCACCAGCACCAACCAGAAAGCTAACTAATACACATATACTCGTCATGGAAAATGGTAAAAAGCAAACAACACAACAATAAACAAAACTCACCTACTAAGGGCTGAGGATTTAGCTCAGTGATGTAAGTGCCTGCCTGGCAAGCACAAGGCTGTGAGTTCAAAAAAAAAAAAGAAAAAAAGAAAAAGAAAACTCACCTACTGGACATAAAGTACTGATAAAGTACTGTTCTATTTTTTGGTACAAAAAGATTCAATTCATAAAATTTCGTTACTACATTGTACCCATCTCACAATATATAGTGTTTCATTAACACCTTTGATGGTATTCAATACACTACCTTTTTTTTTTTTTTTTGTCTTTTTCATTTTTATCGGTACCAGGGATGGAACTCACGACAGCCTGCTTGCAAGACAGGCGCTTATGCCGCTGAACTAAATCCCCAGCCCCCTCAATACACTACTTTTAAAAGCTGTGATTTTCCCCATCATATGAAGAAAACATTAAAAGTGTATTGAACGAATTCTATTTTACTGACCAATCAGGGAGTTTATTTTTAGTAAATAAAATGTGATGATGGCATATTTCTGTACAAGTATCTGTGTATATATCTTTAAACTATAGTATATGAGAAAACTTGCCTTGGGACTTACCTAAACAATCTCAAATATAACTATCTATATAAATATCTATTCTAAAACTTACCTTTTTCTTCTTAACAGCTCCATCAGGCAGAGGGAAATGGTCTTCTAGAAACTCACCCAAGGTAATCAAAAGTTTCTCCTTAAATTTTTTTGTATTAAGGATTTTAGTTTTGAGCTCATTTAAGATTCTAATAGATAAAAAAAATTGAGAGAAACATTTAACAGATTAAACACATATGCACATACCTGGTTATTTGTAAAAATTTAGTTAAAACTTTGTGTTTTAACCAAGTAACGAGCTTATGAAGGTAATAAATATTGTAGGGAAAAGAATGATAAAACCAAGTCAAGTCACTCATAAAAAGTCAATGTAACAAATATGTGATAAAAGTGAGGGCAAGACTAATGCTTCCTGGTAAAATTTGCCTTTTTATCTGTATTTCATGTAATATTAAAAAAATTTTTCCTAGTCTAAATATCAAGAATATTAATTACCTTGATTCAGAAAATGTCACAACCTCATTTTTTAATTCATTGTGTAGTACATTAAGAGATTTCATTATTTGTTGCTGTTCATCCAACCACTGCTGCTCCCTTTAGAAAAACAGAACAAATAACTAAATAAAACTTTAAATGCCCATTCAACATGCCAATGATTAATGGTAATTATGATATAAATATACCTTTCTAAGTCTTCTTTTAACTTTTCATTCTTTGATTGAATAGTAGATAGTACCATTTCTAGATCATGTCTCAATTTTTGGAACTAGAAAAAAATAATTTAAATTAACTGCTTTTTAAAAATATATAAATAGTTTTGTTTCTGAATGACAGTGAAATTTATACATTGTTCTAAGATACCTCAATTCACAAACTAATAGTAAAAGTGCCTAGCAGAAAGTGTTTAAGAATGTAAATATGCAGCAGGTGGTAAGTTTTTAGTGGCATCCCATTATTAAATATAAAAATATAATAAGGAGTGTAGAGCAATATATTTTAATTTCAAATTGCAAAGCAAATTAATGTTTTCGGTGATTGGATAGATCAGCCCACTTTTCTAATTGAACATACAAATGGAAATATAAGTGAATATCATTCATTCCATATTTATGCAATCAATCACTCAGTCAATATTGTTTCAACAGTTACTAGTTACCAAACATTGTTGAAGGAGATAGGGATGCAAAGGTGAAGAAAATTGAGGCAGATCCAGAAAACCAAACAAATACGTGAACTTTAGGCAGTCCAAATGCCATTAAGAAACAAAAAAATCAGATAAGAAGATCAAGAAATAGTAATTTTACATAATCTGATGCAGGGGTGAGCTCTATAATCAGCCAACATTTCTGTGGCAGAGAAGAAGACAAAAGATAAGTGAAGTTAAAATCTTAGAAAAAAATATTCTAGATAGAGAAAAATACAAAGGCCCTGAAACAGTGTGCTTGATATAGCTGAGGAACAAGATGGAATATTGGGGTTACTCTGAATTACAATAAACTCTGGAATTTATTCACTATCTTTTTGTTTGTAGAACATATTAACTAATGTGCCACTGTCCTGATGTCAGTGAAGAGTTTTGTAAGAGCAGGGAGGACATTAAGCCAAAATGGTAATTAACTTGGTTTTTAAAATATGTAATTAAATTTTTCAAAGAGGAAAAGCAGGTAAATAGAAATAAAAAAGATAAACTAGAAAGTAGGTTTAGATGGGTGTGGAGACATACATCTGTAATCCCAGCGCTTGAGAGGCTGAGGCAGGAGGATCTTTGCAAACTTGATGCTGGGCTACAAAGTGAGTTCAAGACCAGCCTGAACTTTATAGGGAGATCCTGTCTCAAAAGGCCAAAAAAAAAGAAAAAAAAAGAAAAAAAAAAAAAAGAAAAGAAAAGAAAGAAAGAAAGAAAAGTAGGTTTCAACACAACCATATTGATATTAAAAATGGTCAAAAAATGGCAAATAATGAAATTAGAGATAAGAGAAAAGAAGAAAATTGCAAATTAGATAGATATTAAAAAACACTTATAAATAATCCATAAATCAAACAACCAATGGGAAAATAAAATTATATAATTTCCATCATAAGTTATTATGTTTAAAAATAAAACACCAAAATTTCTGTAAAGTAAAAGTGTTACTCAGATGAGAATTTTTGTATCATTAAAAGCCTATATTAGAAACCAAAGAAAGTTCTCAAATTAATGACTTTACTTTTTACCATCAACTCAGAAAGATCAAATAAAGTCTGTAGGATGATGAAGAAATAATAATTTACACCAAAGAAATGGGAGGGGGATCAATGAAATCCAAGTTGAGATAGTCATTGAAATTTGCCAGATTAATTAGAGGAGAAGTAGAAGATACAAATTACCAACATGAAAGTGCCTTTGTTCTTTGATCATTTTAATCTATGTCTCCTCACTTTAATAAATTTTAACTAAGAGTTTAACCGTTCATCTAAGTTCTGTGGTCCTAACCTGTAAACTGGGAAATCGTGCAAAAACTGGTATCACAAGTGAAACTTGCTACATAATCCCCTGCTAGCTGAAACATGTTGAAAACACTGGGAAAAGAAGTATAAAGTGGATAGGGTGAAGAACACTGATGCCTAATGGCTACCAATGAAATAATAGTTGCAATTTTATCAGTTATTAAAGGTAGAAAACATCAATGAAATTCAGCAATAAGACCAACTCCCAAAGAGTTAGATCACAGAATTCAGAGAAATGTAAAATAATGAAAAGCAGAATACATAATCTCTTTGCTATTTTTCTATACAACAATTAAAATGAAAGTAGTATGGGTCATAGGCTGGCATTGTACCAAATTTGGATTTTAGCCAAAGGAACACAAAAACCCAGAACAGTAAAAACAATCTGGAGAAAAAAAAAAAAAAAAAAAGAACAAAAACAAGGCTGGAAGCATTTATACCACCTTGGTTGCTTTTACTTGTCACTGAGACAAAATACCTGACACCCAAAATTAGGGAAAGAAAGGTTTATTTCTTACAATTTTAGAGGTCTCAGTCCACACTCAGTTGGCTCCAAACAGCAGGGTGGCATGGCACCACTTATGGGCACCACAAATAACAGAGAAATCATGCATTCTCCATTCACCTCAAACCAGCAACATGTGGATACTGTCAGTGTCTGCTGCCAGCTGGAACAGTAGCCAGGCTTTCCTTTCTCTTGTCTGTAGGAGTCCAGTGCCTGGATCACTGAGCTCTCTGAACCTGATCGTGAGGAACAGCTTCTCTATGTCATCGGCACTCTGGAATCTGGTACAACTGCTGCCATTCTGTAACTTCCTGTGGCCTCTGTCACCACTCTAGAACACAGTGCTCTGCAGCTTTCTCCTCCAAGCAAAGTCTTTCACTTTTGCAGTTTTGAGGCTACAAAGGGTGGCTACCCACAGCTTCTTGGAGTGCCCCAGGCCATCTTTTATTTCTCTGTTGTTTCTCAGTAATCAAGATTTCAGCTCTATTTTTATAGTCCACAGCTTTCTGGCCAAACTCACATTTTAAATTACCCTGCTGAGTTCTTTGTTCTTGATTCGAAATACAAATCTGGCTGAAAGCCCCCAACAATAGCCATGCCACTGCCACGACATTTGACTCTCTTGAAATTTCTTTTGCCAGATTAATCAGTCCACTGCCTTTAGATTAACCAGTCTGCTGCCCTTAATCACAGTCTCGGGTGAAGTCTCTAGACACAAGCAAAACGCAGACAAACTTTCTGCCAAGCCATAACACACATCCTGTGGAGTTCAACAACTAATGCAGTAATTCCTCCCAGCAGAAATCTCCTGAGCCTGGTTTTTACTGGCAGGCTTTCTATCAGGCTTCTGGTCTCCTGAGCTCTGACCAAAATCTCTCCTACAGAACAGCCTAAGCTATTTCAGTGCCACTCTTTCAGGTGACATTTCTGAACCTCCCCAAGTTTCCCACAAGCCATTTTCAAAGGCTGCTGAACCACACAGTCAGGTACATTCACAGCAATGGCCCCACTCCTGGTACCAAATTCTGTCTTGATTACTTTTATCTCATTGTTAGGAAAAAATACCTGACACTCAAAACTAGGGATAGGAAGATTTATTTCTTACAGTTATGGAAGTTTCAGTCCATACTCAATTGGCTCCAAGTGGCTGGATGGCATGGCGGGGCCACCATTCATGAGTGCCACAAAAAGCAAGCATGAAGAGAACAAAGAGAGAAGACACACCTTCTTCCTACTGTTACACTGTATGCTGGCTCCACACTCAGGCAAGTGTAGCACTCATACCACCAATCCAAGTGCTACGCAACGAAGCAATCACAAACACTAGATTGCATGAGGTTTGTGGGGGAGACATCTGAACATGAACCATAACAAATACCCAATTTTAAATTATACTACAAAGCCATAGCAAGAAAACAGCATGGGCTGGGGATTTAGCTCAGCAGTTTAGGCACTTGCCTGATAGGCATAAGGTTGTTTGATCCCCAGTACCCTCCACCCAAAAGAAAAGAAAATCCAGCATGATCCTGGTACAAAAATAGAGACACAGACATATGGAAGAGAACAATGGACACAGAAACCCATATAACTGCAGCCATTTGATGCTGGACAAAGGAGTCAAAAACATACAATAAAGACAAGCTCTTTCACAAATGGTGCTGGGAAAACTGAATATCTATATGTAGAAAACTGAAACTAGATCTCCATCCCATACCCTGAACAAAAATCAATTCAAAATGGATCAAAAGTATAAAACCTAGAATTTTGAAACTGCTACAAGAAAATATAGAAAAAACACCTGAAATCTTAGGCACAAGCAAAGACTTCTTGAACATGTCTCTAATCACACAGGAAATAGCAAGAATCAGCAAATAGTATTACATCAAATTTAAAAGTACCTGCACAGCAAAAGAAACAATGCAGTGTAGAGAGAGCCTACAAAATGAGAAGAAAAATTCTTTGCCAGCTTCTTTTCCAAGAGGATTATCATCTAGAATACAAAAAGAACTCATATAACACCACCAAAAAACCAAGCAGCCCAAACATTGCATGAGCAAACGATAACAGGCACTTCTCAAACTAAAAAGTATAAATGGCTAATAAGCATATGAAACAAAGTTCAATATTTTTAGTCATTAGGAAAATGCAAATCAAAACTACAGTGACAGTCTATCTTACTGCAGTCAAAATGGCTACCACTGAGAATATAAAAATAAATACTGGCAAAGATGTGAGGAAAAAAGGAATCACTGCTACACTGCTGGTGGAAATGTAAATTAGTACATGCATTATGGAAAGCAGTACAGATGTTCCTTAAAAAATAGAACCAGCATAGAACCCAGCTATGTTACACTTTGATATGTACCCAAAAGAAACAAAAGAATACATATTATATAAGATTATGAATGTATCTATTATCTTAGTCACTCTCCTCACTGCTGGGACAAACTATCTGACACCCAAACTTATAAGTAGTTTATTTTGGTTTGTTTTTAGTCTATAGGTAGCCAGCTGCAACATACGAAGGCGTAGTGGAAGACCCTAGGTGGAGGAAAGCTGCCATGAGCAAAGCCAGGAGGCAGAAAGGAAAGGGAGGAAAGGGGATGGTAGACACTTTCCAGGAACCTGCCTCTCCTATTAGGCCCCATCTCCTAATAGCACATTTAGTTTATAGTCTTCCAAGGATCAATCGCCTTTCAAAAGCCCTGTCTGTGAGTATAAGACAGTAGGGACATTTAGATATAATCCATAACACTCATGCTTATTGCAGCACATTTCAGCAAAGAGAAGAAACCAGCCTAGATGCCCATCAACAAATGAATGGATAAATAAAATGTGAGACAGATAGATAGACTTCAGCTATAAAAAATAAAACTATGTCATCTGCAGAAGAATGGGTAGAACTAGAGACCATCATGCTAAATGGAATAAGCCAGATTCAGACACACATGTTCTACATGTTTTCCCTAATTGGTGCAACTGAAAAAAGATGCTATTAAAGTGAGAGAACATTATTAGTCAAGAGAAAGAGAATACAGGTAGGTGGAGTATCAGGATGAATAATTATTGTATTATTATTTATAACATTGTTATATTATTAGGGTTAACATGAATACTATTATGGCTAACATGAATTTACTAAGGTAACAGATGTCTACTACACTGTTAAGTGAAACAGCTAGTTACAAAACAATACGTGACATTCCAAATTTTTTATTTTCAAAAATGTAGATACCAAGAAATCATCATTTACCTATCCTATATCATTACCCTACAAGAATGAGAGAATATCTATGCTCTAAAGTCTCCACTGTCCTAAACCAATGGTCACTTTGGATTCCAGGAGAGCCGTAGATGACTGAGATTTCCCTTCAAGTCACAGGGATTCCTCTCACAAAAACAAAACTGTCCCTCAAGTCATGAGGATTCAAATTGAGCTATGAAACCAGAATTGAGGATAATGATGATCAACTCTATGTAGTGGTTGATTGTGTCAACTTGAGACATTTAGAAGCTTAACCCAACAATATACAAGAAGACCCACCCTAGGGTGGCTCATCACCTGGAGGTATAAAAGGGAAGAAGGAAGGACAAATGCATTCCATTCTTGGGAGAAGCTCTAGTCTGGCCTTTGGTTTGGACACCCTCTCCTGGCTTCCAGTGTAGACTCGTCAGCTTTCCAGCATAGACACTTCAGCCTTTCATTGTAGAGCCTTCGGCCTTCTGTCACAGACAGAAGTGTCTTGCCCAAGACACTAGGGTGAACTCCAGACCTTGGATTGAATCCTTCAGCCTCCAGTGTGTAGACACCCTCTGCACACTTCCTTATCTGACCTTTCCTCATCTGACTCTGTGGCTGACCATCGGAAGCCAATCTTGTTGTTTCTTTTACATCTGTATATCTCATATCTGTTCTCTCTAGTAAAACCCTAATACAACCCCCCCTATAAACACTTCATAAACTGGCCCCTTTGTTTCACTAATGGGCCAGTCTGATCTTCTTCAGAGTACACCTCCTCTAGCTATTCCTCAAGCTGGAGTCCTTCATTTATCTTCACTTAGCTTTCAATTAAAGCTTTTGCCTGTAAATTCAAACTGTCATTTTAGTTTTAATTTCCACTACCACTACAAGGACCCACATTACCACTGACAGTACTATAAAATATATAGTTGGTTTTCATCCTTCTTTCTAGCATACAATTCCTAAAATTTTTAGAATTTCTGAAGTACCTCTCTATATGTTAATGAGTTGAATGATAGCAAGGCAGCATACAAGCAGCTTCAAGGGAGCTTCAGGATTGCTAAACACATGGAGGTTTTAGGATGGCACAGTCAGAGGGCACAGAAACTCGATGTCCCTTCTCACATGCCTTGCCCTATGCATCTCTTTCATCTGGCTGTCTATCTTCTGTAATCTGCTTTATGAGTAAAAGCATATCCCTGAGTTCTGTGAGCCTCTCCAGAAAATTAAAAGAATACATTAAAAGAAAATTAAAAGAACGAAAATCCCCAGTTTATAGGTGGTGAGTCAGAAGTGTAAGTGAAACCTACTAATTACAATTGTCAATTGAAGTAGGAGACAGTCTTGCACAATTGAGTGATCCAGATGTCACTCTACCGCCTGATAGAAAGCTGAACTGAATTATATGGTGACTGCTAGAAAATCATGTGTTGAATCTGCCACAGAACTTGTTTCTGATGGGAAGAAAACTCTATATTTTTTGACCAATGGTGCTATGTTGTATTGAAAGGTGAGAGACAGTTGAAAAACACTAGTTTTCTCTTCCCTGACCTTGGAAACACACTTCTCATTTTCATCTGAGACTTCATTAGAATGGCCTTTTCAGTTCATATTTTCTACTAACATTCTATTCAGGATTATATAGGTTCTCTCTAAGAAATCTAAGGGATTCTTTCTAGCACTCCTCTTTTAAGTCATCAAAACAATTGCCTGAAAGGTCTCCTCTTGCTCTTTTCTACCATGGGCTTCAAAATTCTTCAGCCATTCGCATTACCTAGTTCCAAAAAAGTTTCCACATGTTCCAGTATTTTTTATAGTACCAACTGTCAATTCTCACTATTAACTTGCTGTCATAGTCTTTTGGGGCTGCTATAATCAAGTAGAACCATAGATGGGCAGCTTATAAAAATAATACAAGATTAAGGTACCAGCAGATTTGATGTCTCACAAAGGACCTCTTAGTCATATACAATGCTTTTTTTGCTCATATGTTGGAAGGGAAGAACTCTGGTGTTTTCAGTCACTTATAAGGGTAATAGTTTCATTTATGAGGGCTCCGCTCTTAGAACTTAACCACCTCTCAATGGTCATACCACCAAATACCATCACACACAGGGTTAAATATAATGAATATAGAGAGGACACAAATATTTAGTCCATAGCAGAAGGAAAGGTATATATCTGTGACCATTTAATTAAGTGTAACCTTTTGTTTTTATTATGAAGAGAGGTTAATCAACCAAGAACTAGATACATGGAGAAGGCCTATTTACTAACCACTAACACAGCTCTCTTGTAAAAATTGACTGCAAAATTTAAATCTTTAGAAGTACTCAGTTAAAAAGAAATTAAAAACACAACATGATTTCTGAATGGTATTATCCTGCTGCCTATGTCCAAAACTTATTTAAAGCAGATCTAGATATAAATTATTTGAGGTTACTAAACCCAATAAATGACTTACCTTTTCTTTCCCTAATGTTATCAGAACATCTTCACTCAGGGGAGTTACTAAAAAACAAAACATAACAAAATTATGCATACCTAGCAAATTCTCAATAATTCCATTTTGTAGTTTTGTAAGATAATCCTCTCCATCTCTATTTATAGATTACAGAACTTCTAGTGAAACATACATTTTTAAAAAAATTTTTTTTCCAGCTGTGGGGATTGAACCCACAGCCTTGATAATGAGATAAATGCCTGGTCATTTTACATTTTATTTTGAAACAGGGTCTTCCACCAGCAGGATCAGCTCAAACTTGTAATCCTCCTACTTCAGCCTCCCACAGTGCTGGGATTACAAGCAATTTTACTTAATTTTTTTCTACATATAATCAACATTATACACTTTTGTATAAACTTTACCATATATGTGTATTTTGTTTTTAGAGATTTTTTTTTTGCTATTTCAAGTCCTCAAAAGCAACCTTAATAACCTACACTGTTCTTCAAATATTTTTCTCTGCATATACATAACATGTATATGTGATATATATTACTTATATATATATTGTTATATATATTATATATATTATATATATAAGCAAACATATATATTATTTTTATCATTGCTGGTTTTACAAGAGTCTATATTATCCCTACCATGTTCTTATGCAATAAAACTCCCATGAAAACCCTTCTATATGTCTTGTATATGTCTAACAAATCATTTAATAAATATATAAACATTTCACAGTGAGAATATATCACTGTGTTGACTGTCCTACTTACTGATATTAACTTTGCACTTAGTTTTTAAATATAAGAAATAAGAATTCAGTAAATGTACAGTAAATCAAATATATTAATTTGTTCATTTTTATTGAACATATTCCCAGGAACAGAATGTCACAAAATAAAATGTGCATTTAGATTTTTAGAACAGAATGCCAGACTCCATTCTAAACACGTATCTATGCGCAATAAACTAAAAACAGCAAAAGACATAATTATTTTGTTTTAATCAGTCTAATAAGTAGAAATGAATGTTGACCTTTATATAGAAAAATTAATAAATGTCTAATTCTTATACCAGAAAAATTCCTACTCTAATAATCTAGTACTATTTCAAATTTCTCAAATGATATGCTACTACCAAAAGATTTCAAAGGTGTCTACAATTTAAGAACTTTGTATAAAAAAGGACTTTCTACATGTGCTTTATAGGCCTATGTTAGAACTGACTGTAGGAAGCTGTAAGATGGCTACTACTATGAAATGAATGTCACCTTAAAGCTCATGTGTTAAAGGTCCATGTGTTAGCCAGTCTGTGATACTAATGGAGATGGTGGAAATTTTAGGAAGCTGGGTTTGCTAGAAGTCAGGTCACTGGGGGAGTGCCCTTGAAAAGGATATGAGGACTCCAGACCCTTCCTGCCTGTCTCTCAGCCTCCTGACTACAATTAGAGGAAGTGTTTCCTTCAATAGTGTAACTTCAAGTCAGGGATTGTGATACGTCCTGCCTTGCCTTCACTGCTTAGAACTGTCTTTGCTAATCTAGGTTTCTTCTCGCTCCAGATAAATTTTAGGAGTGTTTGTGTAGATCTATGAGGTATGTTGATGGTATTTTTATTGGGATTGCACTGAATCTGTATAACACTTTTGGGAGAATGGCCATTTTCACAATATTTATTCTTCTTATCCATGAGCAAGGGATGCCTTTCGATTTTCTGAGGTTGTCTTCAATTTCTTTTTTCAGTGTATTATAATTTTCCCTGTACAGGTCTTTCACTTCTTTCAACGAGAGTAATTCCTAAATACTTCATTTTTTTGGTTGCTAGTGTGAAGGGTGTGGCTTATCTTATTTCTCTGTCAGTGATTTTGTTCTTAGTATATGGGAATGCTATTGATTTTTGAATACTTTGTATCCAGCTACATTACTAAATTTATTTATTATATCTATGAGTCTTTCAATGGAGTTTTGTGTGTCTTCTATGTAGAGTATCATGTCATCTGCAAACAATGATAACTTAACTTCTCCTTTTCCTATGTTTACCCCTTTTATTTCTCTCTCTTGTCTAACTGCTCTGGCTAGTATTTCCAGTACTATATTAAATAGGAGTAGTGATAAGGCACATCCTTGTCTTGTGCCTGATTTTAAAGTAAAGGCCTTCAATTTTTGGCCATTTAGTATGATACTGGCTGTTGGTTTGTCATAGATAGCCTTTATTATATTGAGGTAAAGACCATTTATTCCTATTTTCTATGAAGTTCTTATCATAAGTGAATGTTGGACCTTATCAAAGGCTTTTTCTGCATCTATAGAAATGATCATGTGATTCTTACTTTTGGCTTTATTGATATGGTGGATTACATTTATTGATTTACATACATTGAACCATCTCAATTGGTCATGGTGTATTATCTTCTTGATGATTTGCTGCATCCTATTTGCCAATATTTTATTGAGGATTTTTGCATCTGTGTTCATTATGGAGACTGGTCTGTAGTTCTCTTTTTTAGTTAGGTCTTTCTCAGGTTTTGGTACTAGAGTAATATTTACTTCCAGGAATGACTTAGGTAGGATTGCTTCCATTTCAATTTCATGGAATAGTTTGAGGAGTGTTGGCATTAAGTCTTCTTTGTATTTCTTGTAGAATTCTGCAGTGAATTCGTCTGGGCCTGGGCTCTTCTTTGTACGTAAAGATTAATTACGTTTTCAAATTCATTAATAGAGATTAGGTTATTCAGCAGTTTTACATCTTCAAAAAGTTTTGGTACTTCATATGTTTCTAGGAATCTGTGTATTTCTTCTGTGTTATCAAACCTTTGAGAGTCGAGGTTTTCAAAATAGATGCTGGTGATCTTCTGTATTTCTATAGCCTGTAGTGATTTAGACTTTTTCATTTCTTATTGCATGAATTTGAGCTTTTTCTTCCCTTTTTAAAATAAGGTTGGCTAGGACTTACCAATTTTATTTATTCCTTCAAAGAACCAACTCTTTGATTCATTGATTCTTTGGATTGTTTTCTTAGTCTGTATTGTATTGATTTCTGCTCTGAGTTTTATAATGTCCTCTCTTCTTTTGGCTTTGGGCTTGACTTGCTCATCTTTTTCTAGATGTTTGAGGTGTAATAGGTTATTTATTTGTATTCATTCTGTTTTCCTGATGTGGGAGGTAAATGCAATAAATTTTCTTCTGAGGATGGCTTTCATTGCATTCCACAGATTCCAGTAAGTTGTATTTGCATTTTTCGTTTGCTTATAGATACTGTTTAATTTCTCCTTTAATTTCCCGATTACTCGAGTGTGTTATTCATTTTCCATGTGTTTGTAGGATTTTTGCAGTATCTTTTATCATTAATTTGTAATTTTATAGCGATGTGATCTGATAACATGCAAGGGATAATTTCAAGTCTTTTGCATTTATTTAAATATGTTCTGTGAGCTAATATATGGTCTATTTTAGAGAATGACCCATGTACTGCTGAGAAGAATGTGTATTCTGGTGTTGTTAGATGGAACACTCTTTATATGTCTATCAAGTCCATTTGTTCATAGGTGTGATTCAGCTATTTCTTGTCTGCTTGATCTGTCCCTTGGTATCAATGGTGTGTTAAGGTCTCCTATTATTATTGTGTTACCGATAATTTGGTTTTTCATTTCTGTTAATACTTGTTTTATTTAACTGGGTACTCTGGAATTTGGTACATATATATTTAAGATAGTTATCTCTTCCTGTTGAAGTTTTCCGGTAAACAGTATGTAGTGACCTTCTTTATCTCTTCTGATCATTATTGGTTTACAGTTCACATTGTCTGCAAACAGAATGGCTATCTTGCTTTTTTTGGGTTCCTGTTGTGTGAAGGATTGTTTTCCATCCGTTGACTGTCAGTCTGTGAGTATGCTTTTGGGTGAGATGAGTTTCTTGGAGACACCATATGGTTGGATTTTTTTGTCTTGATCCATTCTGCCAGTCTGTTTCTTTTAATTGGTGCATTGAGACCATTTACATTAATGGTTATAACTGTTATATGTTGGTTTATTGTTGACTTGTTATCTTTCTGCTGCTGCATCTTTATCGCTCTGTTCTGTTTAATTGTCTGTTTTGCTTAGTGGATTTTCCTAAGTGTATTTAAACTGTCCTTCAATATTCTTTGCAGGGTTGGCTTGGTGATCATGAAGTTCTTCAGTTGCTTTTTGTCATGGAAGTATCTTATTTCTCCATCCATTTTGAAGGACAGTTTTTCAGGGTACATCAGTCTAGGTTGGAAATCATTTTCCTTTAGGATCTGGAATACTTCACTCCATGCTCTTCTTGACTTTATTCTTTGTGCTGAGAAGTCTGCTGTGATTCTCATAGGTTTTCCTTTATAAGTGATCTGTTCTTTCTCTCTGACAGCTTTTAATATTCCATTCTTACGTTGGATTTCTGGGATGGTGATTATTATATGTCTGGGTGTAGTTTTATTTTGGTTATGACTATTTGGAGTTCCATATGCTTCACTGATCCTGATGTTGGTTTCTGATCTCATGTTTGGGAAAATTTCAGCTATTACTTCTCTAAATATCCTCTTGACATCCTTTATGTTGTCCCCTTCTTTTTCATTAATCCCTATCAATCTGTTGTTTTTCTTTGCATCATCTTGCAATTGTTGAATTGTTATTTTCTGATTCCTTGTTATTTTTAAAAGATCTTTGCTTTCCTGTTCACTAGCTGCAATCTTATCTTTGAGGTCTCAAATTTTATCTTCACTTTCATTGAGGCAGTTTTTACAGCTTTCAATGGAATTTTTGATATCCTATATATCTCTGTGCATCTGCTTTATGTATTCTGTTTGTTTCTTCTATTGCTCATCCAGGGGTTTTATCTTTTTGTTTAGTTCCACCAATGTTTTTAACTGTGTTTTCTTTTCTTTTTTTTTTTTATTTAAAGAAAAGGAAACAAAAAAATACATGGAGATAAAAAAGGGTAGAAATAATACAAAATTACAGAAAAATAAACGGTAAGAAATCGCTGGTTGATAAGTTACATATTGTCATCTTAGAAATAGCTGTTCAGGTTACAG